AGCTGGGAACCTGGGATTTCAAGAGGATGTTCTCTGTCCAACTATAGCGTGGATAATTAAGTTCCCAATATTCGAGGACCAGTATGTATAAGAGGTTTTCAGCTAGCGGAATTTCGAGTAATCTTATTACAGCACGAAACACTGCAAAAACACATGATCGCACGGGGCCCCCAGTGCGCGTCGCCAATGATTTTTTATATGTAAGAGGCTGGCGTGAATTTAGCGTTCATCCTGAGAATATCACTCATTTTTACCGACAAAACTGCTAGGACAAGAAATTCCAAAACTATAAAGATCGTATGAACAATCAGTAGAGCGTCTCGATGTCAATACATTTTGTGTGAAACAAGCACGGCTTTCTTGTAATATTCTGTATTCGTCCGACATATGCGCTATCTTCGGTCAGTTTCTCTCTCGCAAGTGCCCCTTATGACCCGACTGGATTCGAAATATGATGCTTAGCAATCCTTTTCTTTTTTTCTTCAAATAAAACAAAAAGCTTAACTGCATTTCTGTGCAGTTAAGTTTGAGTGTGAAATACGGGAGTTTGATTGTTTGTCTTACCGCTCGTGCATAATTTATGAAAGATTAGTCTTAGCAACTGATCTGTGTGGCTACCGATAAACGACGGCAGTCTGTGGCAGCGAAAGCCGGGCGAATGTCGCTCGCCGCTGCCTGCAAGCTTTTCATCTGTTTCATCCCCTTTTTAGCGGCACCTAACAACCATTCATTTCTTAGTGGTAATGCGCCGCATCAGCCAGTCGCAGAAACCATTCCAGGCATTTTCACCGGAACGACCAGCTATCTGTCTCTTCCAGATGCGTCTTCCGGAAATTTAGCAACAAATGAGTCAGATGCAAGATCCGCCGAAAACATCGAAACTGATCTTTTCAGTGTTGAAAACATGATTTATTACCATGGGCTGGAATGGCTCATTGAAGACTGGTTGGAAACAACGAATGAATTAATCGACGATCCCGATCAAATCCCAGTCCCAAGTGAGAACTTAATCGCTGAGCGAGGTGTCACGAACTTTGAACCCACACTTTGCGCAGCTGAACCGGATGCCGCCCAAGCTGCAGCTACAACCTGGGATGATCAACCAGTACTGTGGAATTCGAGATTTGATAGCGACACATTTACAGCCTTGATTTCGAGGAACGATAAATCCAGCGGATTGCAGTCAGCAGCTGATTTGGAGCAACTGAAGCACATCCAGCAGAAGCCCATCACTTCCTAAGGAACACCAGCGCTGCTCAGCGATCCCCTTCTTAGCTACGTTACAACACAGCTTCGTTCAGATTCAGTGGATTTATCCAGAAACAGTCGTGTATCGGAACACGTTTCTTCGAGTTCTATTCAGTTTAACAGTAAATCAATTCCAACATTTCCGCAAAGTTCCACTACTGATAAACTCGGATCAGATGCAACTTGTCTGCGCGGACCAGGTGCATGCTCCATGCCAACATCCATCGACCTGAAACTTGAATCGAATTCATTTGATTCTATAGATCCAAGCACATCGCTAAGTGCTACCGGAGGTGCAACAGCATCAAATTCTATCATCGTGAGCTCTGCTACCTCTAATCTTGCGTCAAATACATCAGACAAATACATTGTCATCAGACCGCCAAAAGAGAAATCAAAAATTCGTACTTTGAGCAACTGTAATCCGATTCTGTCCGTTGTGAATCATATACCAGCTTGTAAACCGATTACGACCGTGCCACTACTTTTTATCACCAAACAGCCAACCAGTCTCAAAAAGCCAACCAAAAAAGTGACCAACTCTCAGCCAGCTTCTAGCCAAACCTCAGTTCGAACTGGATTGTCCACGGCTGCAACGGATGTTCCAAGTGGACCAGTCCGCACTGCGCAGTCCTCAGCAAGCAACAGACCGAAGTCCATTAAAGGATTCATCTGCGGAAGATGCAACCAATTATTTGACCAATACCTCGATTTCAAAAAACATCTTATTAGTCACAATAAAAAGGGTGAATATCGCTGCAACTGGCCCGACTGTGGCATCTTTGAAAAAGGCTGCAGGTTACTCTCACGTCATTACCTACAACATATGCCGGAAAGTGATATACGAAGGTGTGAGGAGTGCGGTAAAACTTTTGACAGCTGGTCCCATTTAACCTCGCACAGGCAAGCAGTGCACTTCAAAAAAGGTGAGTTTCTTTTCTAAAAATTGCAGCATTTTCTTGATGCGAAATTAGACAACAGTGATTGAGCTTAGACAGCATCGGTAGGAGGAGGAGCAAGGAGATAATCCTTCCTGGAAATTGCTCTGCGTTTTGCAAAATGCACTTTTTCCTGGTGCACTTTTTTAACCTCTTCACTCTTCTCGTTTTCTCCCCTTCGCCCTAACCCTCCTCTTAAAAAATATCAGAAATTCACTTCTAAAGCGGTTAGTTTCAGATCGGTTTCTGTGTACTGTCCCGGAATGCAACTGCAGTTACAAGACAATGGTCGGACTGAACAACCATGTCAGAGAAAAACATCCGGAAAAGGCGTTCAACTGCTCAAAATGTGACAGAGTGTACGCCTTCAAAAATCAACTGGAAAAGCACGAATGTAAGAAATTTAACTGAAATGTTTTTGACGAAATCAAAATTTACAAAGTTTTAATCATAATTCATCAAGTATCACTTACAGACAGATGCCACGCACGGATTATCAGCAAAGCAAGCAGTACGAAATTTTACTTTCTTTTGAAGGTACATGCGTCTCAAGCTCTCCATATGCCTGACTGCAGTTAGATAATCTTGCACGGTTAAAAAGATATTCCGGGCACTTCTCGGCGTTGCACTGCATCCAT